ATCTAATTTTTTTAAAAAGGTAATATACATTTACAATAAAACAAAGAAATATCATAATTATACATCTAATAGATTCACGTGCTAATATATTTTTTAATTCAAGATTTTATTTGGTCTTTCCAAAAATAAATTCTAGAATCTTGTTAATTCTATTATACGACTTGGTTTTAATTTATTATTTAATAAACTGTATCTTGGACACCCAGTGTTTTTTTACTGTCCGATCAAGTTTTGGCTTTCTGCCGTGCTTCCAACTTTGCCTAATATTTCACCAAAAAGGTTAAATAATTACGCGAAAAAAATATAACATGTTGAAAATCTAAATGTTACCTTAATAGAGTCACCTCCAAACACCATACAAACAGTTTGCCAGATTCCGAGACCGATTCTGGGAGTGACTCCACGGTAGAAGCCTTTGAAACCATTGTTCTGATAAATAAATTTGGCACACGTTACGATGCTCATTTTTTCGGGACGACCTGGTGTTTTCACTTGCGACTGCATTTCAACACGAATGACCTCAATAGGCTATCATTATTCAAAAAAGATCAATGAGTAAATTAAAGTATAACATATATAAAAGGAAAATTCCAAAATGTGAGTATATATATGCCTGATTCCAGCAAGACAATCCACCACCAATAGCGCTAGCCAAAATCTTCTGTATTGGAGATAATGGTCTACTATAATCCGGTACCTCGCCATCCCGAATTCTTCTGATTAACATCTCGCCAGCTCTTGTCAAACCGAACCTGCTAGCCCAATTGGTGCACTGTCGTACTGCTACAGCATTGACACCTTTATTAATACCTCGAATGCCCTCCCTTTTCCAAATATCAGCAGCAACTTTAATGGTCGAAACCTCTGCCCCTGCTTTATGACGCGTAACCTCCACGGTTTTCATAAAGGTACAAAAGCCCATGGTAGTATATGCTTGCGAAAGACCTCCGGCCATACCACCGAGAATACCAGACTGCCGACGAATTATTAATTGATATCGATTGATGTAACCAACGTGTTATAAAGACAATCTTACCAAAAATGGCGAAGCACCGGCAACCCTTGATCTATACTCTATTTCACTCGCAGTAAATATGAGTACAGCACCCTAGTAAAAAGATGAATAATGAATCTTAAAAATAAGGAAAAAATAATAATCGACTGCAATCAAGAATCATTATTTTACCTTTGTGCTAGCCTCAATCCACGCCCATGGTATTAACCCCTGGTAAAAACCAAAGATTCCACCTCGTTTATAAGTTTTCTTGAAAGCCTCTATAATGGTATCTTTTCGATTGGCTGCAAGATGAGTTTTGAGTACTTCAAATGGCTGACCAAGCGTCGATACTTCGAACATATTCAACCCTATTTCATTTGACATTCGAAAGTTTAGTTTTCGACGTATCACGAAAAACTTTGCTTATCATTGGTTTATTATTGAATTCTGCCGATTTTATTTTTATTTTTTATTATTTTGCTTTTTTTTTTGAGTTTCCTAACGCACGTTCGTCGAACGAATTACCGTTAGAATATATAACATGTCTTGTATAGAAACGACTATTGAAATTTCCCAAAATAACTAAATATAAAAACAAATTACCGCCGCCAACTGCAAGGTTAACAAAACTAATCGGCTTTTTTTCCAACTTTCCATCGCTCTCCACTATTCCTGTGGTAGCTGGGGCCATATCGAGATGATTTACTGGTTAAGCGTCAAATCTCGAGATTGAATTCCTCCATCTCTTTCATTATAATTTATCATCGCAAGGTGTAACGTTAAACAGTTATCTGTGTTTTGTGGCTTGATTATGTAAAATACCTACTAAACAAGAAACCACAATCAAAAGAATTTCGGCGACCATAAAAAATCAATTTTCGGCATCTCAAATTTGGATTAAGCTGATTTTCAATTAATATTCACTATCCAATAACTAATTTTTTAACCATTGTTATCTAATATCGTAGTTTAATAATCTTTTTTAAAAATTCTATATAACTACTATTCTAAGCAATTATCAGTTATATACAGTAATAAAAAAATTTTTTTAAAAAAGAAAATCAATCGAATTAATAACTACTGTGAAACCTATATTTTGTTATACCAATTCAATTTTATAACAATTCAAAAAAAAGAAATATAAAGAAAATTAGTTTCTATTAATAACAATATTTTATTTTTAAATTAGTATTAATTTTTTGACTTAATCAAATGGTTAAAAATAATATTGCTATTATTATTAATGCTTTTAAATAAAAAATAAAAGATTTTGTTATTTTGTTTAATATAAAAATTTTTTATAAATTGGTTAATTGGATTTTATTTTATTTATTTTTTTTTTTAATTAACTAGCTGGGCCTTACCCAATGTTGGCTAAATTTATTTAGTTCACATATGTATTTTACACATTTTATATAGGTAATTACTATCTATGAGCTATTCTAGACCACTGTTAGATTATATCAGATTTTACTCTTATATTGGCTTTTTTGCTATTGACTGTTATCTTAGACAAGTCAAGGCTAATGTGCATATATTTCATTAATATCATTATTTTATGTTAAGTTCTATTTCTAACTGTGAATGTTTAAGGAGAAGTGAAAGGAGAAATTGGAAATAGTACCTATTATGATGAATAGAACTTTATAAAGGAAACCTCTAATTCAAACTGGACTATCAGTAACTTGCAGGAAGAGATATCAGATATCATAGGGAAGTAATTATCAAGTCATCTTTTTTCAAATCAGATATTTTCTATATCTTTTTGTTATCCAACTTCTAGTGATCATTATAGCACCAACCAGACGATCATTATACCACGACATCTTTTTTGGAGATCACAATTTTAATGCCTACCAGATCAGTATGTGAAATGGCTTCTTATAAGAAATGGCACATAACTGGCTATGGTATCGAATATTATATTAATTTTATTCAATTGTCTTTATATGGGATTGAACTGATATCTTGTGATCTGACCTGTGAAGCACTAACCACTGTGCTATAGATCCACAGGTCAGTTAATTGGATTTTATATTTTATAATTGATACAGTATATTGTATAATTATTTTATATTTCTTTAAAAAAAATATATAGATTATATAATATAATAAAAAAAAATTTTTTTTTATAAGTAAATATTATTACTTTATTAAAAGACCTGTGGATCCATAGCACAGTGGTTAGTACTCCACAGGTCAAATCACAAGATATCAGTTCAATCTCATATGAAAACAATTGAATAGATTAACATAATATCTGGCATTGTATTCAATTATGTGTTGTTTCTCATAAGAAGTTATTTCATACGTTAATCCAGCGGACGTTGAGATTGTGATCTTCTCGTTAAGATGTAGTAGTGTGACAATCATCCAGTTGGTATCACGATGGTCGTCTAATGAAAAGTGTTATCACATATTTGGATGTACAAACTGGGTTGTATTCTATCTTATTCAACCCTTATCAACTACTAATCACAACTATTTATTTGGATGTATAGACTGAACTGTACTCCATCTTATCAAACCCGCATGACACTTTCCTGTTGGTTAGAGAATAAGGAAGCTTTGAAGAAGAGCACTGTACCGACACTAACATCTTGTGTGACATGGATTTCTCAATGGCTTACTGAGTATATAGGAGTTGCACTCTGCTTGATATTTATGTTCCTAAATTTGACAGCCTATGCCAACCGGTTCCGAACTGGAGTGTCTACTAGGAGATAATAGGAGTTACATCCCACTTGGCCACAAGAGCCCCTAGATTTGATAGCAAGTGCCAACCAGCAAATTAAAACCAGAACATTCACTAGGGAGTACATACCCATGTTGGAACCTCTCTGCCATATTAGCTGCATGAGCGAAAAGGTGTGATGTAATAAGTAACCTTAGGAAATAGTTAGCAGTACTCACTGTTTTTTTAAAATTGGACCGGTAGGTTAGGTGGTTTAAACTAGTGATAGGATTTCCACTCCCTAGATAGGTCCCTCCAAAAATATGAACCCACTTCATAAGTGTCACTAATATTGCTGAAATAATAAATAAATAGACTAGTATTTAACTGTTGTAATAACAATAGATGATATTTGATATAATTCAATTGATAAATTAAATCAATAAAAGTTTCGCATCTAATACTATTCTACTATAAAAAAATAAAAAATAAAATATTATTACTTTATTAATTGTAAAAATATAAAAATTTTATATATAAAAAAAAATAATAATATCTCTTATATAATATATTGAACCAATAAATTTAATATTATCTTGCTTATATACTTCATTAAAGTAGTATAGTAAAATAAATATTAAAACCTATACAGATCAAAAATAATATTAAGTAACTATAATTATTTATTTAAAATTAATAATAATTAATTAATTAAATTTAAATATTAAGTTCTTAAAATATTAAATTAAAATAACTTTAGGTTAAAATAATTCCAGATTAAAATATATTTTATACTATAGAATTTGTTATATCAATTGAAGTTATAAGTTTTTATTAAAATTAAATTAAAAATATTTTTATATAATATTTTTTGTTTTAATCTAATTTTAATTTATAATTATTAAAAAGATTTGAGGTTTTATTTCATACAGCCTAATTAAGTTTAGTTTAAATTAAGATATTTACATTTGATTGTTACTTCAATATAATTACTGTGGTTTTAAGAAATAAAAAATTTTTGTTTTTTTAAAAATAAAAAGAAAAAAAATAAAAGAAAAAAAGAAAAGTTTGTTCTGATAAAAAAAACCCATCTAAATTAATCACTAGTTTAATAAAAACCTTTTTTAATCTTGAAGAAAAAAGAAACCAATACAAAAAAAAAGAGAAAAGATTTCAAATTACTATTAATAAGAGGATACTTTGACACTTTGCTCTTTTGTTATATCCAGTTACATTATTAATTTTAATATAGTATAATATAAAATACATAAGAAAATATGTCTTGTTTATATTTCTTTTACATGTTAATCAATCAGTCCAAGATTTTGACCAATTATTAACTAAAATTTTCAGTATAACAAAAATTCAGGGTCAAACTAAGATAAGCAAAATTCTTCAAAAAAAATCAAAAAAATTTTAATATACTTGAAAATATTATTATAATATATAATTAATAAAAAAAAATCATATATCTTAATAAACTTTTTACTAGTTTATTCACCTATTTCAATCTAAGGTGTTTATTTATGATAGATCCAAGGTTCTTATGAAGCTTGGAAAATATATTCACTAGTAGTTTACTTTCTGGAGTTTCAGATCTAAGGAGAATATAGTGAAGAATGTTTTTTTAATAGGTTTCTTCTTCTTAACAAAGTGTTCTTGCCATAAATCAAATAGATAAAGTTTTATTTATTTTGTTATTAAAATATATAAAGTTTTTAAAAAAGAAAAAATAGATAAATAAGGAAAAGCATTAGTCTTCAAGAAATAAGATATTAAGAAAAGTATATAGACTTTATTATCAAAAATAAAAAATATTTTTGAGAACATTTGTTTTTTTTTGAATTGGTAAAAGAATTAGTAAAAAGAGTTTTTTGACTTTAAACTAAAAAATTTTATATAAGAATTTTCAAAAAAATTATATATTTTCAAAAGCTAGCTTATAAGTAATTAAAATAAAATAAAGAAATATAATATTTGATTTAGAAATATATAATATATTAATAAAGTAAACAAAGTAAAAAAACTAATATATAAATTTATAAAATATAATAAAAAATAATTGGTATTAAATTAGATCTGTAGATTCATAGCACAGTGGTTAATACTTCACAGATTAGATTATAAAATATCAGTTCAATTCTATAAAGACAATTAAATAGAATTAATATGATATCTGATACCATAATTAGTTATATGCTGTTTTTTATAAGAAATCATTTCATATGTTAATCCAGCAGATATTGAAATTGTGATCTTTTTATTAAAGTATAGTAATATAATAATTGTTTGAATAAATGTTACGATAATTGTCTAATAAATAAAGTCATAGAACTACCTACATATTTAATATATAAATTGGACTGTATTCTATTTTAATCAATCCCAAATTATCAATTCTCTTCTTCTGTTGACTGTCAAATAAGAAAGCTTTGAAGAAGAATACTGAACTGACACTAATATCTTGTGCGACATGGCTCCTTCAATGGTTTATATATATAGGAGTTGTGTCCTGCTTAATATTTATGCTTCTAAATTTAATAGCCTAAACCAACTGGTTCCAAAACTAAAGTGTTTACTAGAAGATTAAGGAACTAGAGAGACTTGTTTAAACATAGTTCATATAGTTCTTAAGGAGTTATATCTACTTAACCATAAGAACCTCTAGATTTAATAGCTTAAAGCTAACCAGTGATCAAAAATTGAAGCATTTACTAGGAAGTACAAGTATTACATTAAGAATCTTCTGCTATATTGCACATAAGCAAAAAGGTATGATATAATAAATAACTTAGATAAGCAGTTAACAATATTTACTATTCTTATACAAAAATTGAATCAGTATATTAGATGATTTAAAACTAGTAATAAGATTTCTATCCTTTAAATAAATTCTTTTAAAAAATATAAATCCACTTCAAGAGTGTTATTAGTATTATTGGGATAATAAAAAGTAGAATAGTCTAATATTTAATTGTAATCTAGAATTATAGATGATATTTGATATATTATTTAGA